GACTCGGTAGTCTATGAATTGTTTAACGTCAAGGAGATGTTTTGTCAACTATCACATTCGACGATTATTTCAGTCGTGGAATGGGCGGTCAATTTGCTTGAGGAGAAAGGTTTGTTAAGTTTCTTGTGCAAAATAAATCGTTAGACTTTGTAAGATTGCGGTTTACGAGACTGGATGGAAGTCTGTTCGTTTTCTCGACTTTTCGACCTTGGTTAAGTTTGTACCTTTTGATCTATCCCATTTTTTCGATCTCTATGAACAAGGTTGGGAATTCCCATGGGCAAAGCCTCTAGCCCAACCCTGGGTTGTTTAATGTGTGTACACAACGAATATGTTTTCTTAAAAAGCCTTGGGAGAGATGCTTCGTTGGTTTTCGGTTGTAGGTTAGTGGATGATGTATCAGTTTTTGTGAAATACGAGAAGGATGTGAACGGGTCATGGGATAAGGGTTTCGATATCTTGCAGAAATTTGAGGCCGGATGTTACGATAGTCGTTTAACTTTGGAAAGGACATGCAACAGTTGGCATTGGTCATATCTTGGCTGTCGACTTTGGTAAGGGAAGAACCACCTTGTATCCTATGTCAGGCTCTACACCAAAGTCAAGAAATTCTTTTTGCTCGCGGTGGAATCGTGTTTCGGAATTTGCAGGGTTACAATTGATATTGTGGGAAAGCCTAGAAGATGACGGTCATCTCTTCCTTTTTCCACTGAGCCAGAAACATGGGGACTCTTCCCGCAGGTGAAGCCCTTTTCTTGTGGGCCCTTAAAATTGAACTGCTACGACGAGGGTTTCTTTACTTTTTCTTTGATAAGGTGTTGATTACCTTCAATATCAAGATTGGGGGTGTGTAGGACCAGTGGGTTCGCTGCTTCACCCGCCGGGTACCTTAACACCCCCCGGTTTCGTCTTTCGGTACCCCACCCTTTGGGTTTCCTTCTTTTTTTCATTCTTTTTCATTTCTTTATTTTTTGGACCTCGGTACCTTGTCCCTCTGTGAGGTCCATGAGGACGGGTCCGTCTGTGAGTAGGACATGTGTTGTGAACAACTCGAGAGGGCTGTGTTTTTTATTTTTTGTTGCTCACTGCGGTGTATTATAATTAGTATAAGAGAGAAGTTTATAGCAGTTAGGACTGTCTTGAGTCGTGTGTTGACCTCTGATGATGATCGGTAGTGGCGAGCCGGTCGAAACACCTGTAGGGTCGTTTTGCCATTATGCTTCTCACGATGATAGTGTGTTGTGCCATCTTTGATAGCGCTCCCGGCTCCGCGCTATGGTTTGACTTTTTCGGTTGGTGTTGTATGAACTTTTTTTTTTTTTTACGAGTCGTCTTCGCTCAGGGGGTTCTACTATCTTCTTGTTTGTTTAATCTCCATCCTATCATCTCGTCGTTTGGCCTGTTCGCATGAACAAGTCTGTTACCTGATTGCTTTGATTCATCTTGTTTTTTTTTTTTTTTTTTTTTTTTTTTTTCCCTTTCATGATCGAGTATAATATGTCGAGGGCAAGGCCGAACCGCCCTTGGACATTCGTGGTGGAAAGTTAGGTGGATGCGGGAGTATGTTGGAGCGCAACTAGCCGAAACGCGTCGGGGAATGTGCGCGTTTTTTGAATGTTATCCACGAGATGGTTTTGTAACGATCTCTGTACGTGCATCGGCGCATAGCGTTGGTCTCGCTATCTCATTCTCCTTCTCTTTCTTCTTCTCCTTCTTCTTCTTCTTCTTCTTCTTCTTCTGATTCCTGCCTTCCCCCATCTCCTCCGCTCTCTCTCCTTCACTCCCTCTCCTTAACTCCCTCTCCTCCACTCCCTCTCTCCTCTCTCCATCTCTGCCTTCCCTTTCTCCCTTCTTTCCTTCTCTCCTTGAAGCTTGCATGATTTCGCCTTTGTTTCGGATATGAGTGGGGAATATGCACGTTAAGCATTAGCTATGTTTGTGTTGTTTGTCACGCTCCTTCAAGTTTATTCATACATGGACACGTGGCGATTGGTCGTGCATTAATCAGACTCAATCAATTTTTTTTATTATTATTATTATTATTATTATTTTTTTTTCTTCTTCTTTTTCTTCTTCTTCTTTTTCTTCTTGTTTGTCTTTGTCTTGTGCTTTTCAAGTTTTATTAGACTGGGACACTTTCGGGTTTCTAATTGAAGCTTTATTTTTGTCACAAGTTTTTTTTGGAATCCCGCTTGCAGGAGTCGGATGGCATACTCGCACTACCGTCTTCTGCCGAAATAAAACCGACTTCAACCAAATTAAAACGCCTCGTCATTATAGTTGTACTTGGTGCAACTCGCAGTCTAGGTGTTGAGGTAATGAGTATTAAATACCGGGCGATGTGTTCGGATGAGGATCGTAGGATTGTCCTCGATGTATATGACCGCTTTTACACCTCGGCCTAGATGCGCAGCTGACCGCAATTACGTCCACAGAGAATTGCGAAAACGTCGAAAATTCTTGGTGTGAGTATGCCCCCCTCAATATGTCCCTTATGATCCGCATCCTGGTAATACAGTGACTTAGGTTCGAACATTCTGTTCCACAACTACCAATTAGTTATCCCTGTTTTCTCAAAAAAAAAAAAAAGCTACCAGTCAGTTTTCTTTCAGGGAAGTGTGCATCTTGTCTCACTATCTACAGTCAAAAAAAAAGTCTGAGATAGGAATACGGTACAAAATTTTAGTTGCCCAATTTGCCTTTTCGGTTTATTGTTGATGATCTGATACTAATGATCATAAGATTGAAAGCTCAAATACTGCTCGTGACAAGAATAGTAGTTAAGCAACTTAAGTCGCCAGTACACGACCCCAAAACAAAAAAATTCCCACAAAAAATGAAAGTCGAAAAAACATTCCATAAAAAAAATCCTTCATATTTAAAAATTAGCATTCCAATACTAACGGTCATAAGATTGAAAGATCAAATACTGTTCAGGACAAGAATAATAGTCAAGTCGCTAGTACACGACCCCACAACAGAAAAATTCCCACAAGAAATGAAAGTTGAAAAAACATTCCATTAAAAAAATCCTTCGTAGTTGAAAAAACATTTCAATGTTCGTCAACTTTTAAAATTTCCAGGTTATTTGATAAGTTCCCGTGTAAAAATTAGCTTGCCCTTCCTACTACATCTATTTGTTGAAGATGGAATGAAAGTCTGGATGAGTTTATGAAATGTCCTAGTTAAACTTTCATTATACTACAATAAATTTCTTCTAATTAAGGTTGGATTAACATGTTTATGATTGAAAATTTTTATATAGAATGAAAATCCAATTAAAATGTTTCATGAACTCATCCACACTTTCAATTCAAATAAGAAGGGGTACCCCATTATTTGAATGAAAGTCTTCAAGTAAGATGAAAAATTTTAAAAGTGGAATGACATTTTTTAAGATGGAATGAAAATTTGAAATTTAGAATGTAATTTTACTCTACGTAGCACGGAGAACGTGTTCGCGCCCCTTCATGTTCGCGCCAACAGCTCGCGAACATGTTCGGGTGAACATAATATTTTTTCGCAAAAAAAAACAAAAACAAATTATGATTATTTTTTCGGTTTTTGATTTTTAACTGATGATTGGCTATGAATTTGAATATGACTCCAAGGCCAAAGTTGCTTGTATATATTTTTTTCAGATTTTTTTGAGAAGTTCTGTTTTTTTTTTCAATATTTTTTATGTTCGCGTTCGGAAGGTTTTGGGCGCTTGTTCACGTTCGAGCAAACATGTTCTCGTTCGCTTCCGAACGCAAACATTGTGCTACGTAAATTTTACTATAGAATGATCATTTAATTTTGAGAATTTTTTCTGTTGCAACCTTTTTGAAAAAAAACTCGTAGCCCACGAAAATTTCGGACGCCCATCACCATAGATAAATTGAATCGGCAGCGGGCGACCTCCAAAAAGGGCCCCTGACCGATAGCTGGATGTACTGGTAGCTTAAGGCTACAGTGCCACATTCCTTTCGTGAAGTTTTTCAGGGTTTTTTTTTTTTTTTTTTTTTCCCACCAGGAGAGGAGTATTTACTTTACTAAGCAGTGCGCATACATAAATTTAACCTCCCGACAAAAAAAAACATAAGTGTAACTTCCAGGTTGGAATTTTAAATTCCAAGTGATTGAGTTTGACTTCTGGGTCATGCAATATGTGTTACCAACAGGGAGGCATGGGTCATCTTGGTGCTCGGGCGGCCTGGCCGCGCAAGTGCTACAAAAGGTCCCTGTAAAAAGAAAAACAAAAAATATAAAAAATTCGAAAAAAAACTATGTCGTGCGGAAAAATATTTTTTTTTGTAAACAACTTTGGCCCCAAGATCGAATCAATTTTTTTTGCCAAATTCGAAATGAAAATTAATATATATAGATATATATATAGGGTTATCGACGTTCGGGTTCGTCCGAACTCCCGTACCCGAACCTGCCGAACGTTCGGCCCCCCTTGGGGATGCGTTCGGTCGTTTGGGCCGAACACGGATCTAAAAAAGATTAAGAACAATCAAAATATTCAAAAGAATCTGAAAAATATATATGTTGTGAAGAAAAATAAGACGAACAACATTTACCTCAGTGTTACATCCGAATTCCTTACAAAACTTAAAATAAAAATCAAATATGAAAATAAAAATTAAAAAAATAGAAAGAGAATTAAAATTAGTGAGTGGGCGAGCACGTTTTCGACACGACGATCTTCGGCGATTTTTCGTTTCCGAAATATTTTTTGGCGAGAGCCAAACCCCTTGAGGTCCGGACCCCGAAAGGGACCTCGAAAGCTCGAACGTTCGGGGGTCAGCTGAGGGCCCCCCGAACGTTCGGCCTGGTAACCATGTAGATATATAATTTTTTATCTTTATTTAAGTTTATTTCCTAATTTATTTTTGGTCTGGCCACACTAGTGGTCCCGGGCCACTTTGGTAGCATCACTATGCATTGACTAAGTCTTGATTTTTTGCTTTGTGCCGAATGTCCTCATAATGATCCTGTTCGTCATTTTGCTACAGGTGCAACCATGGAAAGTATCACGGCAATGGAGCGCTCGTACGAATGCTACAACAAAGCAAGGTGCTTTTTCCTAAGTTGTCTGCTCTTCTTTTTGTTTCTTCTTTGGGGAAACTGTGGCTGTGACACACTTGTAGTTTGAAATAGGCAACAAAAGAGAAAGTTGCGGCGGTGTCATTGTGTGAGTTTTGAAATGTGTGACTCCAACGTACTTGCCCCTTTTTTTTGTTTTTTTTCCCCCCTCTCGTTTTCTACTCATCAGTACCTAAAAACTTAGTTCAATGCAACCACGAGTTGTTGGGTGTTAGGAGACCTGTAGGCTTGTCCTGTAAGCTAAATTGGATGGTGCTTCTAGATGCTTTCCGGAAGTAATGTTGAGGATCCCCGACCCTCAAATCATGTTTATGAAATCAAAGTTGAATTTTGAGTTAAAAATAATAATAATGAACTTAGTACTAGATAATAGATATTGTATTCTAATATTATACTAGTTAATTGTATATAAAATTATATTCTAAAACCATATGGCATATGCTATATATTTTATATTGTGTTCTAAATTCTAATATTGTATTGTTATATTAGTAGCATGGCTACGCCGGACCCGGACCCGGACATTTCCAGACATGGAACCGGGCATGTGTCCGGTAGTTTTCGGACGTCCGGAATTCCGGACATTTCCGGACCTCCGGACATGGGGGGATCTCGACAGGTCCGGAAATGTCCGGACCATTAAGAAAAGTAAAAATAAAAAAATCTAGAAAAAAAGTATGCTATGCAGAATAACAATGCAAACAACTTTTGCCTCAGAGTCATGTCAGAATTCCTAACCAAACTTAAGTTACAAGTCAAAAACTATAAAAAAGCTTTGAAAAAGACTTTAAAAATTAATAAAAGGTAATGAATTATTAATAATTAAAAAAATAGGGTTGTCTAATAAATTAGTATATAGAGAGAGAGCATGTCCGGACCCCCCAAAAAAGCATAAACGGGCCTGAAAAACCCCCAAAACAATTTTGGGGAAGGGTCCTGGACCATTTTTTTTAATTTTTTTTTCCTCGAATTTTGGCAGATCCGGACCTTCCACACCGGACGTTTGGAGTCCGGACTGAATCCAGACCGTCTGGACGGCGGTCGGGACGTCCGGATCGTAGCGATGATTAGTAGTTATAGTACTGTTATACTATTATATGTTGTATAAATATATCCTGTATTTACGGACATTATTTTTCCCTTTCTACTAGAACTCCAATCAGATCTTTGTAGCTTTTATGACGGTTGTCGCCTAGGGCGGGGTCCCACTATTAACTGGAATTGGATTGAAAGTTCAAATCTGGACGGGTATGGGGTCAGGTGTAGAGGATGCGATTGATCCGCATTTCTGCATCTCCTCTGAGTCATAAAACAAATCCAGTTTTGGGGGCCTAGTCCAATCCTCTTTGGTAGTGGGGCCTCGTCCCTAGTCTTTGATTGAAGATAGGAAGACTTTGGCCCATTCATCTGGTTGTATTTCATATCATATATTATATTATATATATCATATATTATATATTCTATAATATCTATATTATATATGAGTTGGTGAAACTCCGATGAAACATTTTGTCACAATCCCTCATTTGTTGTCCTCTTCTCCCTCTCTGCGTAAGGAGCATTGGGCGCGGGGGGAGGGCGATGGTCCGCCTCACGTCGGATCCGGGTCGAACTTTTGGAGAGGGTCCTCGGATGAAGGCGATCGCTAAAATTAGTTAAACGCAAGTCAACTTTGGAGACTTCCATTACTCCACAGGCCGTTGTGAAATCTCCACCAACGCGGCCTGTGTTTTACATATGATTTTCATTGTTAACAGGAGAATCATATTGATCATGTAATACAAAGACCCTTAATACAGGCAATCCTAAGTGCAACGAAGTTGCCTCTACCAAGAAAATTTGGGAACGCCTTCAACTTTTTTGTTCGTGTGCCGGCACGAAGTGTGGTGTCAAAGCGGTGTGCGTACTGAATTGTTCACAACGCACCAAAAAATGAGAGAGTGTGCCCATGGGGCCGGGTGGCATTGAGCATAGATGTGAGGGAATATCCTCAAGTTGCCGCCATTGATAAGCGGTTTTCTTTTCTTGCCACTTTACCACATATGGGTCAATGGGAAAACTACCCCAACTTCAACGATTTTTCAAGAAATGTGAAAATGGAGGGTATGTAGATTTCATCGTGATCTTTATAGGAAAAATATTTAAGAAATTAGGAAAGATCATTTCAACTGTGAAAAAAAATCACGGCAGCATGCATGTACATTTTTGTCGCTTGCCGGTTATCCCCACTTTGCTACCGGTAGCCCTCATGAACTTGTGCTACCAGTCCCCCCGACTTTCAAACGGTGGGGGCAGTGGTGGTTTAACTATTTATTAGAAAAAAAAAATCCATGGGCACTTCCTAGGGGTTGCGGATTTTGTGTGTGGTGACGCATGATATGGATCCAAGTCCGAAGTGTGGGGGGCAGGGGGCTGGCCCGCAACTTTGAAAAAAGACGACTCTACTCTACTCTACTCTACTCTACTGTACTCTACTCCTCTGCTCGACTATGTTCTACATCTCTACTCTATATCTCTACTCTATGACACTACTCTACGACATTCTACGACACTCTACTCTACTCTACTCTACTCTACTCTCCTCTACGGCACTTTACTGTACTCTACTCTACGACACTCAACGACACTCTACTCTACTTTACTCCACTCTACTCTACTCTACTCTACGACTACTCTACTCTATGATACTACTCTACGACACACACACACACACACACACACACACACACACACACACACACACACACACGCACGCACACACACATCTTTTTCGCTTTTTTTTCTTCGATTGATTGATTGATTGATTGGTGGAAGGGGGGTTGCCTCCCCCCGCCCCACGCACACACACACACACACACACACACACACACACACACACACACAATCAGTTTTATGTCTGTTGGTCCTCCTTTTGTTGTATGTCCTCCCCATGATTTTTTCTAAGTCTTTTTGTGTATCCAACCGAGCACCCTTAAGTAGTGCCAAACAGTCGGTGGTTCCTCGTTTGGAGTGCCTACTGCGCTCTTATGGGGGCTGCTCGGTTCGGGATGTCTGTGTTGCCTGTCGGTGATGACGGATGTTCGTCGGAGTGACTCCCTGGCTCTGTGGGTGGTGGGAACCAACAGTCTGCGGGGTTCTATCGTGATGTAAGTAGGTCATGTGCTGCTTTGCTCCGTGTTGGATGTGTGGACTTCCTCGTCTGCGCTCCGCCGCTGCCCTGCTGCCTGTCCCGCTTGCTTCGCGTGTGGTTCTTTGCGGGTTGATGTGTTCGCTGTGCGGTGTGGCKGTGTTGTYGGTGTTGCCTTGCGCTTCGCTGCTCCGCTGCTGTGCTGCTCATCCGTTGGTCGTGCCTTCTGTGCTTGTGTGCCATGTTGGTTGGTTGCCTTGTTGCTGATGCCTTGTGCTCCGTTCCATGGTCGCCCAGCTGCTGGTTCACTCGCTCTGTCGTCCCCTTTAGTGTTGTTGCCTTGCTTGGTTTGCCTTCTGCTTCACTACACGGTTGCCGCGCTGCGTGCCATGTCGTTCCTTGCAGTCGTTTTTGGCGTTGTGCAGCCGTGCTGCCTCTACTGTGTTGCCTGGTGCGTCACAGGGTTGCTGCCCGCTGCTATGTTCTTCTTGGGGACAGTCTGCCTTCAACAAGGGTCAAAGGGTTCATGACCCAAACCATCAAATACGGGGATTCCGCAGATTGTCGAGGGTTCAGCCTCCTGATGAGTCGGTGCAACTCCGACGAAACAATCTTTCATCTTTTGTTTTTTTTCGCTCTGTTTTTTTTTTTCTTTTGTCTGCCTTGTTGCCTTGTTGCCACCGCCTCATTCTTCTGCCTAGTGCTGTTTGTCTGCCCGCCCACCTCCCCCTTGCCCTCCACCCTTTGTTCTCTGCTGTGGTGTGTCATCCAAGTACCGTGTTGTGTTTTGACCTCAACCTTGCCATTTTGTTTGTCTTGTTGTACTTGTCTTACCGCTGGTCGGTTCGTTTTTCGTTTTATGACTATTGAAAGCTGGGCTTTATAAGCATTCTTTTCTATGGGCATTCCTGCCTGTGGGCTCTTTCCCGGTGTTGTTTATAAGCGCACTCTTCAACACAACATGTTGTGACGCGGTTGCAGAAGCCACGCAATGCATATAACACACACACACACACACACACACACACACACACACACACGGGGGCACACATACGCATACACAGATAGACACACACACACACACACACACACACACACACACACACACACACACACACACACACACACACACACATACAGGGGCACACATACACAGACAAAAGACAGACACACACACACACACACGTGATACACACACACACACACACAAACAGTTTTAGGTATGTTTGTTTTTCTTCTTTCTCCTATTTTTTTCTTACTTTTATGTCTCTAGCCGAGCACCCTCTAGCAGTGGCAAATAGTCGGTGGGTCCTCATTTAGAGTGCCTACTGCACTCTTAGGGGGGCCACTCGGTTCAGGATGTCTGTCTCCTGTGGGCGATAACGGATGGTCGTCGAAGTGTCTCCCTGGCTCAGTGGCTGGTGGGAACCAACAATATGCGGGGTTAACTCGTGATGTGAGTGGATCATGTGCCGCTTTGCTCCGTGTTGGATGTGTAGATTGTCTTGTCTGCGCTCTGACGCTGCCTTGCTGCCCGTGCCGTTTGCTTCGCAGGTCTTCCTCGCTACTCTGCTGCCTTGCCTCCCATCCGCGGTCCATGCCTCCCGTGTCTTTTGCTCGCGTGCCTTGTGGTCTGGTGGCCTTGTGGTGGTGCCTTGCGCTTCACTGCACGGTTGCTGAGCTGCTTGTCCATGTGCCCTGTCGGCCTTCAGTGTCCTTTGCTTGCATGCCTTGTAGTTTGGTTGCCTTGTTGTCGGTGCCTTGTGCTTCACTGTATGGTTGCCGAGCTGCTCATCTGCTTGCCCTGTTGGCCGTCCGCGTCCTTTACTTACTTGCTTGCGTG